GACATGATATTATACATAGAAAACCCTAAAGACTCCATCAAAAATCTACTGGACTTAATAAATGAATTTGGCAAGCTAGGAGGATACAAAATTAACATCAAGAAATTGACAGCATTCTTATACACCAACAATGAACTCACAGAAAGAGAAACTAAAAAAACAATCCCATTTATTATCATAGCAAACAAATTAATATACCTAGAAATAAACTTAACCAAAGAAGTAAAGGACCTCTTCACAGAAAACTACAGGTCATTGAAAAGAGAAATAGAGGAAGATATAAAAAAGTGGAAGCATATAGCATGTTCATGGATTGGAAGAATTAACATTGTCCATACTACCCAAAGCAATCTATAGATTCAATGCAATCCCCATCAAAATACCAATGACATACTTCACAGAACTAGAACAAATACTCCAAAAGTTCATATGGAACCAAAAAAGACCCTGAATAGCCACAGCAATCTTGAAAAAGAAGAACAAAATAGGAGGGATCAGAATACCAGATATCAGGTTATACTACAAAGCCACTCTAATAAAAACAGCCTGGTACTGGCACAAGAAAAGGCAGATAAATCAATGGAACAGAACAGAGAACCAAGAAATGGACCCAAGTCATTATGCTCAATTACTATTTGACAAAGGTGGCAAGACCATACAGTGGAGTCAAGGCAGCTTCTTCAATAAATGATGGGAAAATTAGACAGCTACATGCCAAAAAAAAAAAAAAAAGCTAGACCAGCGACTTAAATTCTACACAAGAATAAACTCAAAACAAATAAAAGACTTAAATGTGACCGGTGAATCTATAAAAATCCTAGAAGAAAATGTAGGCAACAAGATTTCAGACATACGCAGCAAAATTTTCACTGATACAATGCCTAAGGCAAGAGAAACAAAGGAAAAAATGAACACATGGACTACATCAAACTAAAAAGCTTCTGCACAGCTAAAGAAACAACCATCAAAATGGAAAGAGAACTCACTATATGGGACATCATAATTGCCAATGATGCATAAGATAAGGGGTTAATTTCCAAAATATATAGAGTACTCATACAACTCAACAACAAAAAAAAAAATACAAAGAACCCAATTAAAAAATGGGCAGAGGACCTAAGTAAACACCTCTCCAAACAGGATGTACAAATGGCCAAGAGACCTGAAAAAATACTCAATGTCACTAATCATCAGAGAGGTGCAAATTAAAACAACCTGTCAGTATGGCTGCCATCAACAAATCATCAAACAAGTTCTGGGAGGTTATGGAGAAAAGGGGACTCTAGTATACTGCTGGTGGGAATGCAGACTGGTGCAGCCAGTATGGCAAACAATATGGTGTTACCTCAAAAAATTAAAAGTTGAATTACTATTTGATCCAGTGATCCCACTTCTAGGAATATACCCTAAGAAGCCTGAAACACCAATCAGAAAGAATATATGTACCCCTATGTTCATAGCAGCACTATTTACAATTGCTAAGATCTGGAAACAGCCCAAGTGTCTATCAGTAGATAAGTGGGGGAAAAAAAGCTGTGGTACATGTACACAATGAAATACTATGCAGCTGTAAGAAAGAAAAATCTCTTATCCTTTGAAATGACATGGAGAGACCTGGAGAGTATTATGCTAAGTGAAACAAGCCAAGCAGAGAGACAAATATCATATAATCTCACTTATTTTTGGAATATAATGAACAAAACAAACTGAACAAAATAGACCCAGAGACATAGAAGTAGGGTATAGACTGACATAACTCAGAAAAGCGGGTGGGTGTGGAGAGAGATGAACCACAGAATTTATTTGCATGTATGAATAACCAATGGACATAGACAACAAAGTGGGAGATGGGGTAGGGGGCAGGGAATAAAGGGTGTCAATAGGGGAAAAGGAGAAACATCTGTAATAAAAATAAGTTAATAAAAATAATTTAAAAAAAAATATTAAACTCCAGAGTAGGATCCTGGAGTCTGTAGGGTGATGTAAAAGAATCAAAGGTCATAATTTCTAACCTACCTCAGGGGCTTATTAAAGAATCAGATTTTATATAAATAAAAATTTACACAAAACAATTGTACTGATTAATATAATGCAGACTAAGTACATAAGTGCTTAAAGGTGACTAGAGCAATTCAAAAAATTGAGAAAGCTTTCCCATTACTATTTAGTTCTTCACATCCTTTTTATGATTACCACAGCATTGAAGTTCAAAAACAAATAAAGCTATTTTAGTCTCATATCCCTCACCTCTAGTCTTGTTACCTTCCCTATAACCCCCTGATTTGGGCAAATATGAATGGGAGTTGAATCTTAAGATGTCCTCTTAGCAGTCAGCATGACAGGATGAGGGTCCCTGCCTCCAGGCTGAGCCAGTTTCTTCACAAACCCTCACTCTATTAATAAATCACCATGATATGCACTTCTTCTTTCACATCCTTTCTATTAAATTGTGCAAAAGAATGAATGGATCTCTTATTTTCACCTATTATCTTTTATACATACCAGTAAACCCAAACTTAATTTAATCTGAAGATGATTTGAACTTGAAGATTAAAGTATTTTTTTTTGTTATCTTCTGTCCTCTGGATAAAAACCTTGACTTCCACCTCAGCCTCTCTTCTAGCCTCCTCATTTTCAAACCAATAATTGAAGCCCCCCATACCTGCCCGTAATGTACCAGGCTGCTTCTCACCCCATCTGCACCTCTTTTTTTCTTCTGAGAAGTTTCCCCTCATAGATCAAGTAAAATGTTGGTCATAAAAGTCAGCTCTATTATAATAGTGCCTTCAATAAATATTTCCAACTCCTTATTAATCACTATATTTTACTATTTCAAAAGTATTTACTTAAAAAGTCTTTATGTTATTATTTAGTTCTTCACATCCCTCCTATGATAACCACAGCAAACAGATTTTATGATGAAATAGTAAAAGAGAAATCCAGGGTATCTGGGGTAGGCAGCCCTAATATTATATCCATGCTCAAGGTCCCTGGGATTCCATGAGGCAAAATGAAGTTCCTAGACATTCACTCATTCAGCTAATATTTATTAGGAACCCACAATGTCAGAGTAAACTATGTATCTCACTATGTACCAGTGTGCAAAATAAAACAAAACAAAAGTTTATTTCATGCCCGGCCAGTGTGGCTTGGTGGATGAGCACCAATCCATGCACCAAGAGGTTGCCAGTTCAATTTCCAGTCAGGGCACATGTCCAGGTTGTGGGGGGCATGCAGGAGGTAGCCAATCAATGTTCTCTCTCTCTCTTTCTCTCTCATTCTCTTTCTCCCCCTTCCTCTCTCTCTAAAATCAATAAAGAAAAAAAATTTTAACAAAAAAGTCTATTTCATGGAGCTTATACTTTAGTAGGGTGAGATCATACAGTACATAATTATACACAGCCTGTCCCATGGTAATAAGAACTATAAAAAATAAAGCAAGTGGAGGGTCAAGGAGGCATCAATGGAACAGTTGTTTGAGAGGTTGTTATTTATGATAGGTTAGTCAGAAAAGGACTCTTTGATCAAATAAATGAATTATGAGTATACAACTGAGGGAGAGAGACAGAGCTCTGGTCCCCTTCTATTCCTACAAGGGCTCCACCCTTCATCAGGGATCCACCATTAAGACCTCATCTAACCCTAGTTTATCTCCCAAAGGCCTCACCTCTATGAAACATCACACTGGGAATAAGTATTTCAATGTATGAATCTGGGGGGACAGAACATTTAGGCTATAATAAGACATAAGATTTCCTCTTTAAGAAATTTGTATATTTAAGCAAGAAATCTTATATAGATGTCAGATTAATACAAAAATAACAGAAATATAAGTGTTGGCAGTGATGTGAACTCTCAGTTCTTGGTTTCGTGCAGGAAAGATTTCACAATATGGAGGAGTCCAGGTGATTTTGAGATTACATTTATTAAAGCTAAAGACAATGAAACAAAAGAATGACTTAAGATACAAGAGACAAGATCATAGCCACAAGAGAGAACCTAGTTGGAGCTGCCTTGGCTCTTTGGAAACATGAGGAAGAGTTGAGCCTAGGTGTGATTGTCTTGGCCCTTTTGAAAGAAAGTTACAGAGGCAGAAAAAAGTGAGCCTACTAGACTATGTGGAATCAGGAAACAAGTTACAGAGGCAAAAGAAAGGCCACTAAAGACAGTTCAGGGGCCCTGGCCAGTTTGGCTCAACAGAGCGTCGGTCCTTGGTCCAGAGAGACCCGGGTTCGGTTCTCACTAAGGGCACATACCTCAGTTGTTGTTTGTCCCCCGCCTGCCTGGTTGGGGTCATATGGGTGGCAGCCAGTGGATATGTCTCTGTGACATCAACGTTTCTCTCTCTCTCTCTCTCTCTCTCTCTCTCTCTCTCTCTCTCTCTCCCCCTCCCTCCCTCTCTCCCTCTCACTCTATCTGAAGATGAATGCAAAAGTGTCCTTGGGTGAGGATTTAAAAAAAAAGAGAAACAGTTCAGGGGCTTAGCCCAGGATGAGCTGCTCCCTTTGGTTTTAACTCTCCTGGGAACCTTTAGAGCTTAGGAGAAAGGAAAGCAAATCTATGTGCCTGAGAAAAGAAGTGGGGAAAGACATGGAAATGAGAGATGAGAGAGAGAGAGAGAGAGAGAGAGAGAGAGAGAGAGAGAGAGAGAGAAGGAGAGAGAGAGAGAGAGAGCTCCAGCGAGCTGGGTCCTTTGCCTTAAGAGGTTTTATCTGTTTTCTAAAGGCAAGAATTTTAGGGGAGATCCCAGGGGAGAGTCTCAACAGAATATTCATTAGCTTTCCAGGTGTGTCCTTTCAGGGTCATGGTCTCTACTGATTGGTCGGTGCTATGGTAGGGGGTCATGACAGTCTAAATGAATGAATGGAAGATGAGTCTAGATTCATTAGTGCATTGTGTCCATCAGTGTGACTCAGAATATGTGAATCTTAAAATATCTTGTATAAAACATTTTGTGCATTTTAATGATTAACCTCTTATCTCTTGTCACTTTCTTTTAGGGCTTTTTTATCCTGAATTGTCCAGACCTAACATCTTTGGCTTCCCAATTGATATATCTTAACTTATCATTTAATGATATCAGTTCCTTTCCCACAGAAGTAAGTCTATGTTTATTATGTATATACTGAAATAATTTGTGTTATAAATAATAATTATAATAAAAAATAGACACATGATACCTTGGAGTTACTATAAAGTAAATATATTTTGGGTTGCATTCCAAAATGCTTATTTTCAGAAGTATGAAAAGCACAGTACATCTTTCTTAAGAAGTCCCATGATATAATCCACAAAGACTATACTATAGTCAGGCTCTCAAATATGTTCTCATAATTGTACAATGTATATAAAATAATTTAGTTCTTCTAAGTTTGAATAAAACTTAAATTAAAGCTATTCATGTGTTAATTAGACCTTTTATTTTTTACTTTTAAAATTATTTATTGATTGATTTTTGATAGAAAGGGAGAGACACACACACACACAGAGAGAGAGAGAGAGAGAGAGAGAGAGAGAGAGAAATCAATTTGTTGTTCCGCTTACTTATGCATTCATTGGTTGATTCTTGTATGTGCCCTGACTGGGGATCAAACCTGCAACCTTGTAATCAGATCTTTTAAAAACAAAGTTTAGTGATCAGGTAATAAGATAGGATACTCTGCATAACAAAACATATGTAGAATAATTCACATATGGGAATGAGCTAATTCTTTGTCATTTTAAATAAATGGGTCATTATGAGTAATTAAGACAGATTGTTTTCTGTGTTTTTGTCCAATTCTTCATTGGTCACTGGATGATTTGTTGTTCTGTGAATTGACTTCCAGAATATTGACTTTTAGTGAATTGATTTGTAGCAAATTGACTTCTTTTCTATTTCAAATATATAGTATTAGAAACATATTTTTCATAATTTCTCTGTAGTATTATATTTTTATTTTCACTAGGAGAATTACTTTTTTTCCTAATACATAACAACTGTTTTATAAATTTGATTAGGACAAATAGGCAAGAATTTCCAAGAAATATAGGGGTCTTTTTTTTTATGTTAAAGTGCCCACTTTTTAAAATGATACAAATCAATAGAACTTGTCATACAGATCTGTTATGTAGCTATAGATAAAATATTACAAACAAGATGGTAATATCCAGGCTTGGAAAGGCTGTGCTGGGAATTGGCTAGTGATACTTAGTTATCAGTATAGTGTAAATGCAATCAATAAAAGACCAGAGGCTGGCATAAATGTAGTGACTGATATTGTTACAAGTTTCATGGAAAACCCAAGATTGTAGACTCACACAGAAGACAGAGTCTATTAAAATAGTTTTAGACAAAAAAGGTAGAAGCAGACATGGTAAACAAGGAGGTTAATATAACAAACCCTATAAATATATACTTGGTCTCTTTTTTAAATCTCAGATTCTCTAAAACACATAAACAGAAATAATTAATTATAATAATGTGTCATTGATCTTTCATGAGAAACAAGAAGGCTCACATTGTCTTCAACGTTGCTTGAATAATCTATTGCAAGGAGAATATTTTAGCCCTATTGAATTATCTTCTATTGCATGTCAGCTAGATGAAGAAGAGGGGACAATGGCAGAAGTAAGAGTTATTAGTGAAAACTAATGCACATTTTTACAGCAGCCTTCTGGAAAAATGGATGATAGCAGTTTTTCCTCTATTCAAGTTATGAGAATGCCTTGAAAGTTTGGGGTTTACAACTAATCCTGTTTAACAGTCCAGCATATCAGAGGCTCACGATCAATCCCATAAATAAAAGATCATTTATATGCAATTATAAAAGATTTGTTTACAGTTTAGAAAGTTAGAAAAACAGTGGTTCAACTTGAAGTCTCTCTTGTCGGGTCCAGAATTAATGTCAGATACATACCTTGCACTTTTCTTGGCTCAATTACAACAGGAGGTTATTCTATATTTGTTGTAAAGGGTGATATGCCAGATGGTGAAATTGACCAACTCCTGCAGATGATCAGGGTCCAACAGATACAATGACCAAAATTTGCTGGAGAAGAATTAGTACAACTAAAAGGACAGAATCCAGAAAACCGATCTGAAATGAGTCTTAGAAGCGAATGATGAGTCAGGAATGTTTGATGAAAATGAGAGTGGTTTGCAGTGGGCTCTGGCACTAAGTTGCCAACAGATTGACATGGATGATGAAGATCTCCACAGGGTTATCTATTCAGCTCAGTATGCAAGGTAATTCAAGCACTACTTCAAGATATTCCATGGACATCAAGTACCCATTTCACATCAGAACAGCTATAGAAGAGAAGAGATGCTTACTTTGAAAACAGCAGCAGCAGCCTCAGCAGCAGGATCCACCAGGACAACTTTCACACCCATATGAAACACCAAACACAGATCCAGAAGCACTTGACAGTGATCTCGATGATGATATGAGTGAGGAAGACATGCTTCAGGCAGCTGTGACCATGTCTTTAGAAACTGTTAGGGATAATTTTGTAACAAAAGAAAAAATAATACATTTCATAAAAATCTCTAAATTATTTATATTTTCCAACATTATCCTGTATGATTAAACCAAAGGGTTTGTTTTGATAATGTGTCAAAGAGAACAATGTTCAACAAACAAAAAAAGAATTTCAGGTGGTTCAGAATTGCAAACAAAAAGATGAGAATATGGAAAATGCATCAGTTGTAGGACTAAATAATGATCCTCAAATATTAGCCAAAGAAGCCTTGGCCAGTTTTGTTCTGTGGGCATCAGCCCACAGACCAAAGAGTCCCAGGTTTGATTCCCATTCAAGGGCACGTACCTCGGTTGTAGTTCAGTTCCCAGCCCTGGTCAGGGTTGTGTGGGAGACAACCAGTCGATGTGACATTGATGTTTCTCTCCCTCCCTCCCTCCCTCCCTCCCACTGTCTGGAGATAAATGGAAAAACAAATGTTCTTGGGTGAGGATTTGACAAATACAAGCCAAAGAAGCATTCAGCAATTTAAACATTTTTTAAACAGTTTTCTAAATGTTCCTTTTTTATTTTTGAGTATGCAATGTCTAACATCTAAACTTAGGGCATTTTTCTTGGATCTTTCTGCAGACCAATTAATAAGTTTTGTTTTTGTTTTTTCCTCCCTTCTGTATAGGTAATTTGGCTCACTTTCATCACTTAATAGTTGTTTCTATGTCTCATTAACTAAACTAACCTTTTAAGGACAGTGTCTGTCCTCTATGTTGATAATAGTAATGGTTCCAGACTGTTCTCCCTCTACCTCTATATAAATGCACTTGGGTGTTTTCTCATGTTATTGTCTCTGATCACACTTTATCTACTATCTGGTTCTTATTATTTTCTATAGCTCTTTTAAAAGATAGTAATCTTTCTTGAGGTTTTGTTATTTAAGCCCTCCAAGATGAGACCATTATTTCACGATTCTGGTGCATTCCTAAACTCTGAAATCAGTTCTGCATAAGTATTTAAGAATAACTGAGCCCTGTCCAGTTTATCTCAACAGTTAGAGCATCGGCCTGCAGTCCCAAGAAACCCAGGTTTGGTTCCCACTAGGAGCACATACCTTGGTTGCGGTTTGTCCCCGGCCCTGGTTGGTCGTGTGGGTGGCAGCCACTCGATGTGTCCCTTTCACGTCGATGTTTCTCTGTCTCTCTCTGTTCCTCTCTCTCCCTCCCACTCTCCACTCTACCTGAACAAAAAATGTCCTCAGGTGAGGATAAAAAAAAAAAGAATAACTGAGCATTTATAAAATAATAATGTGCCCGGCCACTGTAGCTCAGTGGTTGAGCTTCGACCCATGCACCAAGAGGTTGCTGGTTTAACTCCCAGTCAGGGCACATGCCCAGGTTGTGGGCCAAATCCCCAGTGGGGGCATGCAGGCAGTGCCAATCAATATTCTCTCTCATCAATGTTTCTATCTCTCTCTCTTCCTCTTCCTTCTTCTCTCTCTCTAAAATCAATTAAGAAAAAAAAAATAATGTATTTTGAAGTCTGTAACATAAATGGATATAGTACGTATAACAACTAGAAAAGGAATAGAGAATAGAACTATTTAGTAACATTTCCATATATTAGTGGAATTAAGTTAGTATAAATCTGAAGTAGATTCTGATAAGTTAAAATGTATATTACAAACCCTAAAACAGTTGCTAAGAAAATAACTCAAAAGAGTATGGTGAAAAAAATCATTAAAGTGCTCTGGCCAGTTTTGCTAAGTGGTTAGAGCATCGGCCCACAGACGAAAGGGTCATGGGTTTGATTCCTGTCAAGGACACATACCTGGGTTGCAGGTTCAACTCACAACCCTGGTTTAGGTTGTGTGGAAGGCAACCAATCAATGTGTGTCCCCAACATTGATGTTTCTCTCTCTCCCTTTCTCCCTTCCACTCTCTCAAAAAAATAAAAATCAATGGAAAAATATCCTTGGGTGAGGATTAACAAGAAATAAAAAATAATTTAAGTAATTAAAATATTATAATAGCAAACATTCAGTTGATGCAAATGAAGGCAGTAAAGAAAGAACAAATAGAATATAACATATAGAAAACTATATGTACTCAAGTTAGGTGATGTAAATCCAGCATGTCAATAAAAACATTAAATGTGAATATATCAAACAATCCAAAGATACAGAATGTCAGGATGAATATAAACTCAAGCTTTAATGACATGCTGTCTATAGAAAATACATTTAAGACCAAAAAGTACAAAGAGTGCAAAGGTAAAAAGGCAAACAGCAACCATGAGAAAGCTGGAGTGATTACACTAATATCAGACAAAATAGATTTTAAAACAAAAAAAAAAGTGCTATCTTAGAAGATGGGGGCGGGCAGGACCAGAGGGAGGGTGAGTGTGTGAGAGAGTGAGCGAGTATGTGAGAGAGTGTGAGTGGACATGAAGGTGGATGACCAAACCTGAGCAGTGCAGAGACACGGAGCAGAAGGTTCCTGTGCTGTGGACGGGACCAGCCGACTACCACAGTAAGCAGCCCTTCAGGGCACTTCTCCCTGCACCGTGGGGAGGTCCCACCATTTTGGAAGATCCCAGGTCTTCCCTGGGAGGAGGCAGTGGGAGAAGCTAGGGCCCAGCAACCTGA